GAGAAAACACAGACTTATTCCCTTATTTTCACCTACTTTGAAAACTTTTTTTTTTTTACATGAAAGTGGTGACCAATAACCATTTTCGCTTTAACTTACAAAAAGCTTAGATATGCAATTTGCATGGTGATCATTATTTATTTATATATTCATTAACGGGTAAGGAACTAATGCTCTCCTAAAGCCGAGTAGAGCCACGTAGCCATGGTTTCCAACTGCACAAGCATCCCTTAGGTGAACAGCTCTTTTGAAGTGGTTTTGTTGGCAATTAAGAGCAGTTATAGCCCTGACATGAAACTAAGCATTTGTACACCTGCCCTGAATGCTTAAAATCTGTGCCAGTGAGCGGGATCTGGAAGTAGAGGGGCATGCTGCAGAACTGGGCTGCAGAATTATTTAAATGAATAACAACAATAACTAAAAGCTGTTAGTATTGAGGGCTTACCACCAGCCAGCCACTTTCCTAGTGCCTTTAATACATTATCTCATTTAATCCTCACAGCAACCTTTGTGGGAGTCATTGCTGCTGGAAGCCTCATAAATATTCTAGGGCTGTAATGCCCTGCAGAAAAGACATCAGCACTGGCAGCCCTGACCCTCTTCTCTGTGGTTAGATGGGAGCCAAGGCCACGGGACATGCAAGGTGAATTAGGGCAAGCTTGCCTTCTGTATGTGCTCACTTCCCCTTTGTTCTTTTCAATTTTTACTCATTTCTTAATTATAAAATACCTGTCTACTATTTTTATGTTTTTTATGTGTTTTTAAGACTAAGTCTCATTCTGTTGCCCAGGCTTGAGTGCAGTGGCACGATCTCAGCTCACTGCAACCTCCACCTTCCGGGTTCAATCAATTCTCATGCCTCAGCCTCCTGAGCAGCTGGGATTATAGGCACCTGCCACCACACCTGGCTAATTTTTGTATTTTTAGTAGACAACATTTCACCATATTGGCCAGGCTGGTCTCAAACTCCTGACCTCAAGTGATCCGCCCACCTTGGCCTCCCAGTGTGCTAGGATTACAGGTGTGAGCCACCATGCCAGGCCTGCTACTTTAAAAAATTAATAAAAGTATATGAAATTAGAAAAAAATAGACCTGCCTCCTCTTAATTCCCTGCTCCCCTTCCTACCAAGATCACCATTAGATCCTTCTAGACTTAATATGTATATATAAACATATATAGTTAAAAATAAACATGGATGCGATCATCACTGCAGCTCTTGCTTTTCAACTTAATCTTTTTGACGTCAGAATGTATATTCAGTGCAACGTGGGCCTAGTGGTCCATTGTATACATAAATCACAAATTACTTATCTGGCCCCTTATTGATAGGCATTGTAGTTGTTTTTGTTTTTAACTTCAGTGCAACAATCCTTTAACAAACATTCTTGTTTTTGTATTTGTATATGCTTGTTTAATGTTTCAGTAGAATAGATTCCTGTAAGAGAAACTGCTGGGCCAAAGAGGAAGCACATATAAAATTTCAGTCGTGAAACTGCCTTCTGGGAGATTCCACCAATTTATACTCCTATCAAGAGTGATTGGGAATATTCATTTCTCTGTAACTCCACCAACACTGGATGATGCCCAAAGCTTTTATTTTTGCACAACTAATCAGGGAAAAGGTATCTCTAAGAATTTTACACTTCTTAAATCTAATGATGTTGAGCTTGGTTTAGTTCTCATGCTGGCTATTTGTATATCTTCTGTGAATTATTCCCATCTCCTATCCAAGTTCTCTCCCCTCTGCCTTTCAATACCTCTTTTTGCCCTCAGGATCCTAGATGTCTCTCTCCAACCCCACAACAGAAGGAAATAATACAGAGAGCAAGAGGATGGTGAAATGATGAACGAAAGCAGGTGCTGAGGCAACAGACACAAAAAGTGTTCCCAGTCAGGAGTGTTTGCCTTTTAAAGGAGCCTGCCCCACTGTGGCAACCGTCACCTCCAAAGATTGCTAAGGGTGCCATTTCAGCTCCAACAACAGGAAAAGTACTTTCCAGTGGGAAGTATTTTCCAGAGGGTCCTGGGACCTTCATTATAACATGAGTCAATGCTTTTTTTTGTCTATCACAATGAGGCTTTCCCCTGTTAGCACTCAGTCAGTTGCTTGGGACTGTATCACAAAGCCTTAAGTATTCACACTTCTTTGCATTAATCTAAGGAATTAATTGGAAGTAAAACATGTGTAGGCAATGTCTGTCGGAGCATTGCTTACTGGATCAGAAAACTGGAAACCATTTTAAATGTCTGACAATAAAGAATAGGTTAATAACAATTTGGTAGATTCATCTGATGAAATACAATGAAGCAGTTTTAAATGATGCTTGAATAAGTACATTCAGTGTCACTGAAAATTATTTTAATTTTACATTAAAAATATATGCAAAGGAAAAAACACTGAAAATTAATATGTCAAAACCCTAAGAAGAAATTCTATTTGGGTAGCAGAAATATGAAAACTTATTTTCTTTTTTGAATTTCTGGACATAGTCCAATTTTGGGAGTGACCAAATATTATAATAACCAGAAAAATTATCTTTTTTTTTTGAGATGGAGTCTTACTCTGTCACCCAGGCATGATCTTGGCTCACTGCAACCTCCGCCTCCCAGGTTCAAGCGATTCTCGTGCCTCAGCCTCCTGAGTAGCTGGGGTTACAGGCGCCCACCACAACACCTGGCTTTTTTTTTTTGTATTTTTAGTAGAGACGGGGTTTCACCATGTTGGCCAGGCTAGTCTTGAGTTCCTGACTTCAGGTGATCTGCCCACATCAGCCTCCCAAAGTGCTGGGATTACAGGCGTGAGCCACCGTACCTGGTGAAAACTTACCTTTAAATGCAAATAATAGAATGTTAAAAAGTAATTTATGGTATTATTCTCACAAATTATTCCTTTTTAACCTGGCAATCACTGAGAAACACAGCCGTGACCTTGCCAACATTCAGTTCTCAGTGATCCACACTTAAGGGAATCTACCACCACACCCACCCTATGACAGGGCACTTAGAGCAGGCGGTGGCATCCATGCACTCCCACTCTGTTGGCTTCCCAACATATATACACTAGGTCCCAGTTTTAGGCATCAGGGGCTTTCTCCCTCTCCAGCCCAAGGCCCCATTCTCTTCACGCACTCCTGCTTCCCCAGCCCTGCCTCATTCCTGATCTCACACTCATTCTTACCTATTTCTTCCCAGTGTCTTCTAAGTTACATTTCTCTATCTCCTCTGTTTTCCTTTTTTTTTTGAGTTAAGAATTACTGTGTTGCTCTCTTCTCTTTAGGAAGCTTTATACTTAGTATACATGTAGAAATATGTAAATTATGGTTGATTACAGCATTTGTGATTATTTCCATAATTTATTTTAAAGTTGGGCATCAGGCCTTTGGTCAGCCACTTCCTACACTCTTTGAATTACTTTGAGAGTTTATTTGCTAAGAAAAATATCACATCTCACAGTCCTGTGTTTCACCTGGAAAGCCCTATTGTTATTTTCCAGTGGTCTCAGCAGAGATTTAATATCAAGAATGGTAGTAGGGAAAAAAAATGGTGACAGAGCCTTTATCTCAATCTAAGACTTTATCACTTTGAGAAATGCTTACTTCACTAGTACATATGATTTCAGAAGTAGTTTGAGAGTCTAGTATGTGCCAGACACTGTACTAAATGCTGGGGAATTACGAACTGAAAGTACACGTTTGCATTTGTGGATGCGCAAAAAGCTTGCAGTCTGCAAGGAGAGGAGACAAGCAGATAATTAGATACCTTTCTGGCATGAGGTATCCCCACAGGGCCAGAGCAGCAGGGAGTCAGGCCCTGAAGGAGAACATGATCTGGGAGGTTTCCAGAGGTACACTTGAGCTAAGTCTCAAAAAATGTGTCTGATGGTGGTTGTATAACAGTAAATACACTAAAATTTACTGGATTTTGTATTTAAAATGGGTTAAGGGTAAACCTCACAGTATGTAAATTAGATCTCGATAAAGCAGTTTTTTTTAAAGGTGTACAGAAACTGGGTCAAACACACAAGAGGGGGAAGAACATCCCAGAGAGAGAGAAGAGCGTGGCAAATGCATGGAGATGTGAACCATCACGACGAGCAAGGGGGCTGCCAGTCTTTGAGTGGCTGGAATGCAGGGTAGCTGTGGACGGCTCAAGCATCCAAAAGGGTTTAAGCAACAGAATCACAGAAGCAACTTAATTTTTATGTAATGGCCCAAATCCAAGAGTCTCAATGACATTCTGGGCACCTTCTGGTTTTTTGTTTTGTTTTGCTTTGTTTTTAACTAGAAGCCCTTTCTCTGCCAAATCTAAGATGGGGAAGAAACATGAAGAGAAGAAAGAACCCATCTGCCCAAGAATCAGAACAAAAAATACATTTTCTAGAAATCATTTGGGTCATCTCTCTGCTTCTAGGCAGGCTTGTTAAACTAACCCAGAGAGAGGAAACTGTTTTGTCCTTAAAGATCCCTAGAGAAGGAGATTCCAAGTGGGACATGCTTTAGGCTAAGAAAAACCATTCTCTGTCGGGTGTGGTGGCTCACGCCTGTTATACCAGCACTTTGGGAGGCTGAGGCAGGTGGATCACAAGGTCAGGAGTTCCAGACCAGCCTGGCCAACATTGTGAAACCCCGTCTCTACTAAAAATTTAAAAAAATTAGCTGGGTGTGGTGGTGTGCGCCTATAATCCCAGCTACTCAGGAGGCTGAGGCACAAGAATTGCTTGAACCTGGGAGGCGGAGGTTGCAGTGAGCTGAGATTGCACCACCACACTCCAGCCTAGGTGACAGAGCAAGACTCCATCTTGGAAAAGAAAAAGAAAAAGCATTCTCTGAAGGCCCTTTGCAAATCCAACCACATATGGAAAGCCCCTAGGAGAAGCAGAATGCCCTCCCAGCATTCTGACCTCTTCGTGCCGGTCTAGTGACACAAAGCATGGATGTGAGTCCCTTGTTTCTTTAGTCACCCAGCCCAGAATGCCCAGAGGAGGTAAATATCACTTACATGGCACCTGGAGATCGGGACTTCCAGGACAACGGTAATGATAGTTCCATGGAGCATGTGGGGAAATACTGGCAGGTAGCATCTGGGCACATGCTGGATACCTCTGCGGTTCAAACTGAGGGAACTCCCTGGACCTGAGAGGTCCAGGGAGGTCCTGCGGGTAACACACGGAGGTGAGGGGCAGGGGCCTTTCCAGCTGCCTGATGCCCAGGACATCCTGGGGCTGGGAATCATATCCCGTATCTATGGTTGGCAGATCCAGGCCTGCTCGGTTCCTGTGAGGCTGGGGCCGTTGCACCATCTCCTGGCTACCGCCCAAGGAGTCTTCTGAGGCATTAGGTAAACTTTGGTCTGATTTGTCTGAGTCATGGCCAGTGTCAGGAGAAGCTGCTGAAAGCTGAGATCCCAGCCATGGATTACGTTTTTCCATAAATGAAAACTGATGCTCTGCAGGGAGGGCTCCAACCACAGACTCAGACTCGCTGACTGCAGAGGACCCAGAGGGGAAAGCTTTGCCTGGGTCTGGGTGTCTCCTGCAGAAGCTGTCTTCACTGTCCTCCAGAACTTGAGTGCGCAGGCAGGTGACCTGCTGGGATACAGGCCGCTGGTGATTTGCAAGTTTCAGGGTTGGGTGAGCTTGAGAATTGTGAGGCGTGGTGGGTGCAGACAAGCTGTTGGGTGCCATGTTCCTTATATTTGGAGCAGGTGGTTCTGATTCCTCTTCCAGGGAATATTCTGGGATTGGTTTCAGCAACTGACTTGGGTATGGTTCTGATTCATCAACCTCCACAGGAATGCTTCGGCTCATTCTAGCTTCTGGAACAAGAGAAAACATGCCACGGCCTTAGAAGATAGATCAATTCTTGGAGTCCTCCTTTTATGACCTTAAGGGGCCTGGTTCAGGATGTGGTTTAAATTAACAGTGAGACACCAATGTGCTTGCAGAGCCCTAATCACATACAATTGTTTACTTATCCTCCAGGCAAAAGCACTAATGCTTATTAAGATATTTTATCCGGAAGGCAATTCAAAGAATGTGATTGGATCATCCTGTGGTAGAAATCATTCACCAGCAAGGGGAAAACACAGATGAAAATCAACCGCCAAGTATTGAGGAAAGAGAAATTATCATAATGTGGGCTGCTTTGTGTGTGCTTGGAATACATGATGAAATAAATCTTAGTAACTGATATGGGATTGGAATGATCTCTAAGATATATTGAGTTTTTTTTAAAAAGGCAGGCACGGAGCAATGTGGATACCATGCTGCTATTTTGTGTAAAAAACGAGAATGTGTGTGTGTGTGCATATCTGCTTGTATATGTATAAAACGTGGGGAAGATACACAGACATTGCCACATCGGTTGCCTTTGAGGATGGAATTAAGCCGGGGGAGAGGAGTGGGAGGAAGAGTTTTCACCTTTTGAACTTTTATAATTTTGTTCCATTTGACTATTGCCTAATTTTAAAAAATAATAAAAGGGTTTTTCTTGAAAAAGCAAAAAAACAAAGCCCAAGTTTAAAAAAACACATTGAGAAAAGGTCAGAGTGACATTTTCTACCTAGTCATTTTAGGTCATTCAGAGGCCTTCATTCCCTCTGGGCACTATGCCTGCAACAGAGGTAGACGTGACCATTTGGTTTGCGATGTAGCTGAACCAGCAAGGCTCACTAAACTAGACCTTAGCCTGCAGAGCATTTAGCCCACAGTCCAGGCAATATTGCTTTTAGCTATAAGAAGAACAACTCTTAATTAACCTAACACAGTGAGAAAGAAAACCAGCCTCCTCTTCTCATTCAACTGGTTGAGATGATGCCTTGACCACAGTGGGAGGAAGAAGGCCGTCGAGGGACGAGGCTGCACAGGAGCGACGGGGTTTGCAGGAGGCTGCAGAGTAGGTGTTGTAAAAGTGCAAGCAAGTGAAAAGGAAATCCCAGAGGGTTAGTCTACGCCAGGCTTGTACGTAGCATACTTCAAATACCATAGAGAGGGAAGGGATTGTGTCTGGATTTTAAAATTCCTACTTTGAATCCAATTCGCATTTCAACCACAAACATTCACTGAGGGCTCACTGTTGTGCCTAAAGTCAGGTTACATAAATTATGGTTCTAAGACGAGTTTCAGAGAGCATGCATTCGCTTTCTCTTGCACCCTGTACACAATCCAATGGGATCATGGCAGCATTTTGAAATGCTCCCCCTTCACACAGATAGGGCCAGCAGTTTGCCACCAAATGTACTTAACAGCCTATAAAAAGATACCTCACCACTCCCTGCCAAGTGAATGCTCTTTAACACTCTTCTCCCACTTGGTATCAAACTTACCCACCTGCTGCACAATGACCCTTGCTCTGCTTTCTGACACAACAGAAAACTCAGCATCTAATTTCGGGCTGGCTCTCCCTCCATCTCGCCATCTCTCCCTTTCCCTGTCCTTGTCCTTTTCAGGCTGTGTGTGTCCTTTCCTCATTGGCTCTGCAGAAAAGGAGACCTCATCAGCTAAAAGGAGACCTGATCAGACCTCATAAAAATGAACAAGTACTGAGACCTGCTCGGCCATAGAGACCCCCACCCAGGTAGCGCTGAAGGCATTAAGAAGCAGACACCCAGATAGAACAGCAGAGTGGGACTACCCGGCGGGTCAACAGCCTACAACCTGAGAGCCTCAGAGGGCTGACAGCGTTATGGGCTGAAGGCCTCAAGCAGATTCTGACCCACGTAATTAGTCTCTCTGAACAGGTGATTATTATTAACACACAGGTGTTCTGTGTTTTCTCATAGAACCAAGATAAACTAGGTAGGCAGCTGGTGCCTGCTTACCAGCAATCAAGAACAAACTAGAAAGTATTCTCCACAAGGGAGCCACGGGGGCAGGGTCGCAGATCCCATGCTTAAAGAATTGTTTTCACCGGTGTATGATATGCACATACTGTTTTGCTACTTTAGAATGCCCCAAGTAGTTTTCCACTTGTGTGGCAAGAGGTGGGGGAGGGGCGTGGTGGGGCCACGTTCTCAGCAAACAATACAATTTACCAAACACTCAGCATTTCTCAGCAAACAAGAGCCTACCAAAAAGACTCATAAATATCACAACTTTTTATTATTTAAAAAATGTTCACCATTTTTCCCCTTTCTTTCTTGTAATTTTTCCACAGTTACGAAATTGCATGTGCCATACAACATGCTCTTCAGCTGGCTGGAAAACAAGTCTTTTTTTCAAGGCCTGGCTGAGTGTTGTGCCATCTTCCACAGGCACTGTGTGCCCACAGCTGAACGGGAGGCAAAGAGATGCAAAAAGTGAGCTGACTAGCAGGACTAATTCCTGTCCTCTCCTTATTGTCATTGGATACGCTTTCAATCCTCGCCCTTCAGGTACAACTATTTACATTCTTCCTGGATTTTCTAATGTAAATACCTTAGAAGTGCTTTTCTATCCAAAGGAAAAGAAGTTGCAAATTCTACTCTTCTAGCTGAGGAGCCAATAGGGACTTGGAGGAGGCTTTAAAAAAAAAAAAAAGTGATGAGCCCATCATCTCACATACCTGGAAATCTGAGGTCATCATCTGGTGGGAACTCCACAGTTAAAACAGGTCTGGGGCTGGGTGTGGTGGCTCACACCTGTAACCCCAGCACTTTGGAGGCTGAAGCAGAAGGATTACTTGAGCCCAAGAGTTCAAGACCAATGTGGGCAACATAATGAGACCCTGTCTCTACAAAAATTAAATTAGCAAGGTGTGGTGGCATGCTACTCAGGAGGCTGAGATGAGAGGATCACTTGAGCCCTGGAGGTCCAGCCTGCAGTGAGCCAAGATTGTGCCACAGCACTTTGGCCTGGGTGACAGAGCAAAACCCTATCTCAAGAAATAAAAATAATTTTTAAAAAACTGGTCTGGCCAGGTGTGGTGGCTCACACCTGTAATCCCAG